GCATACTCTCGACGGTCAGAAACCACATGCTATTGCCACGCGATGTCAACACGCCTCTCCATGCGTGGCTCTCCGAATGTGAATTGTCTCTGCCCACCGACGGCCGCGAGGTGCTGGAGAAGAAGCGACTAGAGCCAAAGGGTATTAGGCTACAGCATGCCTTGGCACTCAAGGTTCAAGGGAGCAGATACGCGGTACAAGGGAAACAAGGCGCATGCGACTGAATCCACTTTCCGGGCACACGCAGCGGATGTTCTCCCTCACTGGCTACGGCACGGGTGACTGGTTGACCGCCATTCTAGTAGCAACTACACGTCGTGTTGGCCCTGTACATTTCGCAAACGCGGTACGCTTCAGGCTGGGCCTCCCTTTCTCAACGCCCAAAAACTGCGACTGCACAGAGCATACCGCCATACCTGACCCGCGCCTTCCCGACCACCTGTTCAGATGCGGGACAGGCAAGCATCGCATCAACACTCATAACGAGCTACGCGATGCTTGCATCAACGTGGCGGAGAAAGCTGGGTTCATAGTACACGGGGAGACAGCGGAGTACTACCCGGTTGACGAGCAAACTGCCAATTTTTCCAAGAGGGATAGAAGCAGCGGCGCGGTGTACGTGTGCGACGTCACTGTTACCGACCCCATCAGTACTAGGGACCCGCAGGCGCTGAAAGGAAGAGGATGGGCGGCACGGGAGCAGGCTGACAAAAAGCTCAAGCACTATGCCAATCTGCCGGACACGGTGGACCCTCCAGGAGTGTACATGCTCGATCCAGGCTGATGGGTGAACGTGGCCAGGTGCCGGCCCGTCCGAGTACACGAACAGTGGGTCACCCGCTGACCTCCAGGAGTGAACTGGTCAACCCACGCGTCCTGAAGGTCAGCTCAGAACGAGGGGAGGTGGAGGCCAGACAGAGAGCCAGACGGGACCGCCGGACACGGCAGGACCGTGGAGGAGTGTGCAAGGACCGGACCCCCAGAGGGGTCAGCCAAAGAGACTGCCATAGGCCGACTGAGCGGCGAGAGTGTGGTGCAGTCGCGAAAGAAGGAGCGGGAAGCACCCGAGTCAAGGGTGAAAGTGTGTAAGGCCTGAGCTGACTCGGTACCTGAGAGAGCAGACTCACCAGTACCTGGGGCAGCAGACTCACCAGCACCTAGAGCAGCAGACTCACTAGCACCTAGAGCAGCAGCCTCAATGCCCGGGTCGGGCGGAACACACAGGTAACAGTCACCCTCAGCACTAATAGACACAGCATACATAGCAGCAAGGATAGCATCATAATCAGGATCAAAGATAGCAAATCCCGACTTAAGCAGATCACCCCAGCGAGGGATCTCAGAGGAGTCGGGAAACCGCATACGCCAAGCGTCAGTCAGGCGGCCAAAGCAGCGCAGTGTGGCGTGCGGTCCTCCACACGTCTCCCCACTGCGGTCGCCGATGCGGAGAACGTAAGCGCAGGGACCAGCACCCCCAGACCTCCCACGCCCAGCGTACCACTCACGAAGCTGCTGGGGCGACAGGGTCTCACGAGGGCGCTGCTGCTGCTGGTGCTGCCCACCGCCAAAGCCTCCCCGCTGCACAGCGCCACCTCGACCAGCACCACCGCCGCCGCCACCCCCACCGCCGCCGCCGCTGCCGCCACCTCCACCCCCACTGCCGCTGCCTCCGCCGCCTCCACCTCCACTGCCGCCACCGAAGCCCCCACCCCCGCCACCACCCCCACCTCCACCCCCACCCCCTCCGCCACCTCCACCACCACCGCCGCCCCCGCCGTCTCCTCCAGCACCCTTGCCCCCCTTGCTCCTGCCGCTGCGGCGCCTCCCACTAGGAGCAGACGCAGCGCCGACCGACTCGGTGCCAACGAGGTCGACAGCAGCAGCAGAGGCAACAGAAGGCAAGAGGGGAACGGGGGAGCACCCCTCAAAGAAAGGGGCATGAGGGTCACCACGAGAGGCTCCTACAGCGACTATACTCTTCTCAGCTGCAAGGAGGCGCTCCTCGAGAAGGTTAACGGTGAGCGTGGTGGGGCAAAGGGAGAGGAAGTGGTCCCTGACCGAGCGAAGGGAGTCAGGGAGCCGGGTGACGAGGTAGTAGAGAGTGATGTACATAGAGGGGGGGTTCGCGGCGCAGAACTCGGCACGAAGCGCAGCGCGGTAGCGGGTGTCACTAGTGCGGAGGTGCGTAATGAGGTCAGCGACTGTGGCAAAAGTGGCTAGGTCAGGGAACAGGTACGGTAGCATGAGGCGGCTAAGGGCAGCAGTGGCAGGGGAGGAGTAGCGCGCAACAACAGCGTCGTACAGAGTCCTAACGGTCTTGTACTGACTAAAGTGCGCGCGCTCAGCAGACGGCAGGTGACTACGAATAGCAAGACGGGCAGTAGCATCGTGCGTGGTCCACTGCGAGCAAACAGTACTGTCAGCATCAGCAGCAGGTGCAGTAGAGGTGCCAGACGTAAGATCAAAAAGCGAGACTCCGTCCTTGCTATCGCACTGCAGAAACAGCTGCAGATCATCGACCCAGACCTCGAAATCAATTGCCTGACCCTCAGCATCGAAGGAAACTACATTAGGGGTAGCCATGAAAGCAGTAGCAGTAGCAGTAGCAGTAGCAGCAGCAGCAGCAGTAGCAGGAGCAGCGCGACTCGGCAGAGCGGGGCGGCTCGGTAGGGCGGCGCGGCTCGGCAGGGAAGGCGCGGGTGCAGCGGTGCGCTTACCAGGGCGGGATCGGGGTAGGGCCGTAGCTGGAAGGGCAGGGCCGAGGCGCGCCGGCAGGTCAGGGCCGCAGCGACGGCGGCAGTAGGGAGGGCCGCGACGGCGGCTTCAGGGAGGGCCGCGACAGCAGGGCGGCAGGGCCGCGACGGGTTCAGACAGGGCCGCGACAGCAAGGGCCGCGACGGCAGGGGCCGCTGCAGGGGGAGCGCGACGGCAGAGGCCGCGACGGCAGGGGCCTCGACGGCAGGGTCGCGAGAGCAGGGGCCGCGACTGCAGGGGCCGCGACGGTCAGGGGCCGTGACGGCAGGGGGCGCGACGGCCAGGGGCCGCGACGGCAGGGGCCGCGAAGGCAGGGGCCACGACGACCAGGGGCCGCGACGGCAGGGCCGTGACGGCTCTAGACTGGCCCCTGCTCGTGTCGCCTCCTGTCTCACCAGACTCTCCTCTGGCACCACCGCCTTGGTCACCCTTCCCTGCCTCGTCTCCGAGGCATGGCGTCCCGTGTCCTTCTCACTGGTCTTCCCCGGTCTCTCCCTCCCCTCCCCCCGCGGCCTGCCCCTACCTGCATTCCTTGCGTCGAGGGGCGGCAGCGCGCCGCTCCTCACTCCTCCGAGTTTCCTCCCACGGAGGCTCCCTTGCAGACTCTTCACATGGACGTGTGGGGCCCAGCCCGCGTCCGTGGACAGGGTCATGAGCGCTACTTTGTGCTGGTCGTTGACGACTACTCGCGTTACACCACAGTCTTCCCCTTGCGCCGCAAGGGTGAGGTCGCTGAGGTGCTGATCGACTCGATCTGCGCTGCCCGTCGTCAGCTCAGCGAGAGTTTTGGCTCGGACCTTCCTGTTCTGCGTTTGCACTCCTCCGACCTTCTGCAAGCCTTCTGTCGTGCGGAGGGCTTCCGCCAGACGTTCACGCTTCCGGCCTCTCCACAGCAAAATGGGATTGCTGAGCGCCGCATTGGCATGGTCATGGACGTCGCTCGTACGTCCATGATCCATGCGGCTGCTCCCCATTTTCTGTGGCCGTTCGCGGTTCAGTACGCGGCGCATTAGATCAACCTCCAGCCCCGGGTCTCCGTGCCGGAAACCACACCTACTCTGCGGTGGACGGGGAAGGTTGGCGATGCGTCTGCGTTCCGTGTCTGGGGATCTCGAGCTTTCGTCCGCGACTTGTCTGCGGACAAGCTGTCCTCCCGTGCTGTTCCCTGCGTCTTCCTTAGCTTCCCCCCTGACGCGCCTGGTTGGCAGTTTTACCACCCCACCTCGCGCCGTGTTCTGTCCTCTCAGGACGTCACGTTTGACGAGTCGGTTCCTTACTACCGCCTCTTCCCCTACCGCACTGCCCCCCTCCCCCCCCCGCTGCTCTTCCTCACGCCAGGTCCTCCCCCGGTAGACCCCCTCCCCCCTCAGGGTCCTGCCCCCTCAGGTGTGTCCCAGGTAGACGCAGTCGAGCCTGTCGAGGTAGTTGTTGACTCTAGTGCTGCTAGGGGTGCTGAGCCTGCGGGTGCCGGGTCTGTGGGTGCTGAGCCTGACTGTGCGGAGCCTGGGGGTGCTGAGTTTGGGGGTGCTGAGCCTGAGGTTGCTGATTCTGGGGGTGCTGAGCCTGGGGTTGCTGAGCCTGGGGGTGCGGAGCCTGAGGGTGCTGAGCCTGCGAGTGTGGAGTCTGGAGGTGCTGCGCCTGGAGGTCCTTCGGGTGCTTCGTCCCGGCTGGAGCCACTCTCTCCACAGCAGCTGCGCGAGTGTTTTGCTCGCCGCTGGAGCCGTGCTGCTGGAGCTGGTGGTGCTGCGGGTGCTAGAGGTCCTACTGCTGCTGGAGCTGCTGGGGTTTCTGGAGCCACTGGTCCCGGAGGTGCTCGTATTGGAGGTACGGGAGCTGCTGGGCCTGGTGGTGCTGCTGGGGCTGGTGCTGCTGGAGGTGCTGGAGCTGGCGGTGCTGCTGGAGCAGGCGCTGCTGGAGGCACTGGAGGTGGCGCTACTGGAGCTGCTGGGGCTTCTGGTGGTCCTGCTGGAGCTGGAGGTGCTGGAGGTACTGGCGCTGGAGGTGCTGCTGGAGCCGGTGCTCCTGGGGGTGCTGGAGTTGGCGCTACTGGAGCTGCTGGAGGTACTGTTGGAGCTGGTGGTGCTGCTGGTGTTGGAGCTGACGCTGGGGGTGCTGGTGCTGTCCCTGCTGGTTCTGGAGGCGCTGCGCGGCCGCGGCCGTACTTCGTTCCGCTCCTTCAGCAGGTTCTTGGTCTCCCGCCTTCTTCTGGTCCTGCTCCTTCCTTCGAGTGTCCACCTCCTGTCCAGTCGCAGTCACAGTTACAGCCCGCCTCCCCACTGCCTGCTCCTTCTCCCTACACTGGTCCGACCGGAGGTCTTACGGAGCGTCGTGAGCCTGAGTCTCATCCTGCGTCGCCTGTTCGTGCTGGTCGCACTAGTCGTCGTGGTTCGCGTCAGCGTCCTCCTCCTGTCCCTGCCACGCACCAGATGGCCCTGCGTTCTTCCACTGCTCCGCAGCGTGTCCCTCTGCCGTCTCCTCCTGCGTCCTCTCTTCCTGCCCTTTCTGACCCGGCGTCTGACTCCCTTCGTGCTGCTAGTCCTACTGTCACGCGTCTCCTGGCCACTGTTGTCACCGACCCTTCCTTTGAGTCCACTGCTGCGTCTGCTCTTGTTGCTGAGCTTGTCGACTTTGCTGCTCACTGTCGTCTAGACTACGCCACGAGTCTTGTTGCTGAGTCTGAGTCTGTCTGTCCTCCGTCCGTCGGGGGTGAGTGTGCTCTTAGCACGGACGTCCTTGAGGACAGGCAGGAGGACTTTGAGTGCTTTGCAGCCGCTGTACCTCATCTCGTGTCCATGCTGATTGCACCTGAGGGAGACCGGATGCACCAGACATCCCGACCCCGCGCTCTTACGCAGAGGCGATAGAGGGTCCCTACTCCTCTCAGTGGCAGTCAGCCATGGACGCAGAGATGGCTTCCTGGGAGTCCACAGGCACCTACGTCGATGAGGTTCCCCCTCCTGGGGCGAACATTGTCAGTGGCATGTGGATTTTCAGGGTGAAGCGGCCGCCGGGTTCCCCGCCTGTCTTCAAGGCGCGTTACCTTGCTCGAGGCTTCAGTCAGCGACAGGGAGTTGACTTCTTCCAGACCTTCTCCCCGACCCCGAAGATGACCACTCTTTGGGTTCTGCTGCACGTCGCTGCTCAGCGTGACTACGAGCTTCACTCTATTGACTTCAGCACTGCTTTCCTACAGGGCAGCCTGCACGAGGAGATCTGGCTGCGCCGCCCACCTGGCTTCACTGGGTCGTTTCCTCCTGGTACCCAGTGGAGCCTCCGGCGGGCAGTCTACGGTCTCCGCCAGGCGCCCTGTGAGTGGTACGACATACTGAGGACTACGCTTGCGGCTCTTGGGTTTGCTCCTTAGACTGCTGACCCGTCACTGTTTCTGCGCACCGACACTTCGCTGCCGCCGTTCTACATCCTCGTGTACGTCGACGACTTGGTCTTTGCCACTGCTGACACTGAGGGACTCACCCACGTGAAGTCGGAGCTGCAGAAGAGACACACGTGCACAGACCTGGTTGAGCTGCGCAGCTATCTTGGCTTGCAGGTCACCCGGGACAGAGCACGACGCACCATTACCTTGACTCAGTCACACATGGTGCAGCAGGTCCTTCAGCGCTTTGACTTCACGTACTCCTCGCCAAAGGCCACTCCTCTATCTACTCGCCACTTGCTCTCAGCTCTGCCTTCGGATGAGTCCATAGAGCCGAGTGGCCCGTACCCAGAGCTTGTTGGCTGCCTCATGTACCTGATGACCTGCACTCGACCTGACCTGGCATACCCTCTTAGCATCTTGGCGCGCTATGTTGCTTCTGGGAGACACCGACCAGAGCACATGGCTGCATCTAAGAGGGTGTTGCGCTACCTGTGCGGTATGTCGGGCATGGGGCTCGTGCTTGGAGGACGGGCTCGAGTTGTCGTCACTGGTCACGCAGACGCTTCTTGGGTTGATGACTTGGCTACGCAGCGGTCGTCACTGTCAAACTATATTTCTATAGCTTGTGTAGTTCTAGTCTAGGTGTTCTCCCTTGTGTTATTTTTGTACTTGCACTAGGGTTAGGTTTTCATATATCTTGTTTGTACTTTCTGTTTTTTAGTTAACTTTTACATAGTGACATGGTATAGAGCTAGGTTCACCCTAGCGAGATTTCCCCCTTAGGAAAAATCACTCGACTATCATGGGCCCACCTAGTCGCGCCCCGTCCTAGACTGCCCGTAGCGCGCTTACCTTAGGACCCGTCGCCCGTAGACCCCCCTCCCCCCGTCGCCCGTAGACCCCCCTCCCCCCGTCGCCATTCGCCCGTCGCTCGTTTCCCCCCGTCGAACGCGGCCGTTTTCCTTTTTTTTTCCCCGTCGCCCGTCACCCGTCGCGGCTGTTCCTTAACGGGCCCCGCGGCCTTTCGTTAGCGGGCCCCGCGGCCCTTCGTTCGTGGGCCCAGAGGCCCCTTCGCTAGCGTGCCCCGCGGCCCCGTCGTTAGTCGCACGCACGCACAGAAGCAACCGCGCGCACCAGTGATTCGTCCCCCACCCGTTTCCCACCGTCGTAACCGCCGCCCCACCCGTTAGATGCGGCCCCACCCGCTGCCTTACCCGCTGCCCACCCTGTTAGCCGTCGCCTCACCCGCGATCTACCGCCCCACGAGCAGAAAACAGCCGCCACACCAGAAATCGGCCGCCCCAGGAACTGCAAACCGCTGTCCCAGACCTGAAACTGCCGCCCCACCTGGAAACATAATGCCCCACCCGTTCCTGTCACCTCACCCGGAATCAGCCGCCCAACCCAGTACTCTCCACTGCACTGAACCGCACAGAACCGTGCAGAACCGCACAGAACCGCACAGAACCGTGCAGAATCGCGCAGAACCGCACAGAACCGTACCGAACCGCTCAGAACCGCACCCGCTGCCCCACCCGTTCCAGCCAGAGCTGCTGCCCGACCCGTTCCAGTCACCTCACCCGGAATCAGCCGCCCCACCCGGTACTCTCCACCCCGCAGAACCGCACAGAACCGCACAGAACCGCACAGAACCGCGTAGAACCGCACTGAACTGCACAGAACTGCACAGAACCACACCCGCTGCCCCACCCGTTCCAGCCAGAGCTGCTGCCCCACCCGTTCCAGTCACCTCACCTAGAATCAGCCGCCCGACCCGGTACTCTCCACCCCGCAGAACCGCACAGCACCGCACAGAACCGTGCAGAACCGCACTGAACTGCACAGAACCGCACAGAACCGCACCCGCTGCCTCACCTGTACCAGACAGAGCTGCCCCCCCCCCCCCCCTCCCCACGACCTGAATCCTCCGCCTCAAGGGCTGAAACCCGCCACCAGCAGCACCAGTAGCAGCAGGTTAGGCTGCCCCAGTGCTCGAGCAGCAGCTTAGGCTACCGCTAGTGCACCAACAGCAGCTTAGGCTGCCCCCAGCGGAACCAGCAGCACGATAGCCTACCGCCAGCAGCAGTCTAGGCCCACCTGCCAGCACCACCCCCGTTTCTAGCTACTCACATGGCTTGTACTCGAGTTCTACAGCAGGAGGGCCAGCCGCAGCACTCCCGGCAGTGGGGACCTGCGGGTCCAAAGTGTGGAGCCCTCAGCAGTGGCTCAGCTAGCAGTGGGCGAGACGTCGGCCCCTGCGGGTACCGGGCCCTGACAGGCCCTGGTGCTGGCACTACCTGCTGGAGTCCTGATCACTCTGCGTCCAGCTGCTACCGTCGACTCGACGACCTCCACCGTGAGCGTTTTGGTCCTCACGCTATTACACCGCACTGGCCCTCGTGACTTTGCCAGCGCACTGCTGCACTAGTTGAGTCTCACCTACCTGGTCTAGGACCTTTCCCGGCTGCACGAGTAGAGACCTGTGTTTCCAGTCTTGGTGCGTGTGTTGTTTCCAGTCCAGGCGCCTCTGAGGGTCTTTGTGTAGGAGCTGCAGCTACCACTAGTCTAGCACTAGCCTTTGTAGCTGGTTCGGGTGCGACCCCACAGACTGCACAGCTTTCCTTCACCCTAGACTCTGGAGCGTCTAGCTGTTTCTTTCGCGACTGTACTGACCTCACGCCACTGCGCACTCCAGTCACTGTCGCCTTGGCTGACCCCTCTGTGGGACGTGTAGTTGCCCGCAGCACCACCACTCTTCCGTGTCCGGCGGCTCCCTCAGGTTTTCTTACAGGTTACTACACCCCCTCGTTCTCTAGGAACCTGGTGGGTGTCAGTCACCTCCACGACCTAGGTGTAGTCACCACTTTCCCACTGGACGAGCCTGTTGCCTCCTGCACAGTCGGTACCACTGGGGCCCCTCTGGCCACTTTTCACAGGGAGCCGGGATCTGGTCTGTACTCACTACACACTGGGTCCCACCGCACTGGGTCAGGCCAGGTCAAGTCAGGTCAGGTAGCTGCTGTGTCGTGCGACTGTCGCTCCCTCACCCACCCGTCTGTCCTCTGGCACCACCGTCTAGGTCACCCGTCGTTCCCACGTCTCAGTAGGATGGCACGTTACCGTCTGGTCTGTTGGAAGTGGACACTGGAATGGCCCGAAGTGGTCTCCCCAAGGGCTACAGGTGTCGTCCTTGGGGGGGTATGGGTGCGCTAACCCACCAAGGAAACATGCCCTTTTAGCCCAGTTGGTTAGCGAACTGGACATGGTGCGGTGAGCGTGGAGGACCGGGGTTCGATTCCTGCTGTTGGCGACTTCCTGTGCCCTAGTGGTGGGCCCTCCCAGTGAGGGGAGTGTTGGAAGTGGACACTGGAATGGCCCGAAGTGGTCTCCCCAAGGGCTACAGGTGTCGTCCTGGGGGGGTATGGGTGCGCTGACCCACCAAGGAAACATGCCCTTTTAGCCCAGTTGGTTAGCGAACTGGACATGGTCTCAGGTCTCCCAGAGTCGCTTGCCCCGCTTCCTCGCTCGCCTGCGCCGCTGTGCACTCCTTGCGTCGAGGGTCGGCAGCGCGCTGCCCCTCACTCCTCCTCGTTCCCCCCCACCACGGCTCCCTTCCAGACCCTGCACTTGGACGTCTGGGGCCCCTCCCCGGTCCTTGGACCACGTCAGGAGCGCTACTTCCTGATTGTGGTGGACGACTACTCCCGCTACACCACGGTTTTCCCCTTGCGACGGAAGGCCGACGTGCCTACTGTTCTCGAGCCGTGGCTACTAGCATGGGGTGGTGCCCAGGGTCTGTGTGGGCTTCGCCTACAATCGGATCGTGGTGGTGAGTTTTCTTCCACTCGTTTGGAGAGGTTCTGTCAGGGTCGGGGAGTCATTCAGTCGTACACGCTACCAGCCTCGCCGCAGCAGAACGGGGTAGCCGAGCGTCGCATCGGCCTGGTCATGGAGGTTGCCCGGACCTCCATGTGCCATGCTGGTGCCCCTCAGTTCTTGTGGCATCAGGCGGTCCGCTACGCCGCGCACCAGCTGAACCTGTGGCCCAGTGACTCACGACCACGGGTGACGCCGGTCTCTCTCTGGTCAGGTTTACAGGGTGTAGCAGCTGACTTCCGTGTCTGGGGTTGTCTGGCTCACGTTCGCGCCCCTGGCGCGAACAAGTTGTCTCCGCGCACTCGTGCCTGCGTCTTTCTTGGCTTCCCTTTGGACGCCTCCGGCTGGGTGTTCTACGACCCGGTCACCTGCGGTTTCTTCGCTTCTCAGGACGTCACGTTCGACGAGTCTGTCTGTTACTACAGGAGTCGCCCCCACCGAGGTACTGAGGTCTTTTCCCCCCCGCTGTTCCTCACCCTTGAGCCTCCCCCAGTCGCCCCGGTAGCTCCACCCCCTTCGCGTCCTGCCCCGTCAGGTGTGTCGCACGTCACTCCGCAGTCGTCCCCCCCGCAGCGTCCAGTCCCTGTCGTGTCTGGGGGTGCGGGAGGTGCAGTTGCGGAGGGTGAGGGTACTGGGGCTGCAGGAGCTGGTGGTGTCGGTTCTGGGGGTGCAGGGGTTGTGGGCGTGGAGGTCACTCCTGTGGAGGACACGGCAGCCTCGAGTCGGCAGCCTCGCCCCGCCTCACCCCCTGGCTTCCCGTCCGTCCCGCAGTTTCCTCCTCGTCCTTCTCTGCCGCCGGTTGCTGCGGAGCCTGGGGGTGTTCCTGCGGGAGGTACTGGAGGCCCCGGGGGTGTCGGTGTTGGAGGTGCTGGTTTTGGGGGTGCTGGAGCTGGAGGCACTGGCACTGTGGCACCTACACCGCGCACTGTACGTTTCCTGACCCGTGAGCAGCGTCTCCTTCGGTTGGAGAGGGAGGAGCATGAGCGGTTTGAGAGGGCACAGCAGCAGCAGCAGCAGCAGCAGCAGCAGCAGCAGCAGCAGGAGAGAGTAGAGGGGGAGTCACAGCCGCAGCAGGAGAGTGTAGAGGAGGAGTCACGGACGCAGCAGGA